CATGGTTGCCTGCTTTTTTTCCCCTTAAGTAAGCTCTATACCCAATGTGTGGCTTGAACTCATGACTCTGAGATGAAGAGTCAAATACTCTACTGTGCTAGCTGAGCATCCTAGGGTGCCTTCTCTTCAGCTGACATTTCTTTGATTCAGTTTTACAGTTCCCCTTTGTGGAATTTAAATTTTTTTTTTTAAAGATGTTTTAATTAACATTTTTTCCTGACTTGCAAATGAGGCTAAACCAGTGAATAAAAACCGCTTTTGTGACTTATCAACATATTTTATCTAGATTAAGTTTAACATTTTAATCAATAGATTATAGATTATATACTTTAGATCAAAATTCTGATCCTTTGGATAAAATCTAACCATTATTGGAAAATGAACATCAAATTAGTATCAGAGGGAAAATGGGACTTTTTGAATGCAACATGAATAAGAGACTACAAAACAAACAGTTTACACTAATCTCAATAAGGTACATACACAATTACACTTAACACCCTGGGTGAAGAACCTTCCCCATTTTACCTGAAGATTTGGGATGCCTGGGTGGCTTAGTTGGTTAAGCATCTGCCTTCAGCTCAGGTACTGATCCCAGGGTCCTGGGTTTGAGCCCCACATCAGGCTCCCTGCTCAGTGGAGAATTTGCTTCTTCCTCTCCCCCTACTTGTGCTGTCTCTCTCACTTACTCTGTCAAATAAATAAGTAAAAATCTTAAAAAAATATATACCTGAAGATGCTAATCTTCCTTATTCTAATGCCCATAGTACTGAATCCATCAACAAAACTTAACCGTCTTCTGTATGTTATATATTTTTTCTAGTTTTTTTGGTGCATAAATCTTACTGCTCTACCCCAATCCAATCATAAACAGAAAACCAGGAATGATTTACATTTTTCTTTATAGTATGCATGGTAGGTATTCAGTCAACACATTATATGTTTGATGGAAGTAGAAATTGGGAAAGTGTTTCAATATATTAATACAGACCAATCAGGGTCTTAAATCCTGAATGCCAATTTTAGCTGGCTGCAGGGACTTAAGTCACAAGTTTGCTAAGTTTCAGTTTACTCATCTGTGAAATGGGGATAATTATAGCTCTTGCCTCCTAAAGGCAGTGTAAGGCTGATATAAAAGCTTTGAAAATAGTGAAACAAGGCCTGTGAGATGGGTCTACTTTGGCCAGCATTTCCATTCTACATTTCAGTATTCAGCATTGTGGCTTAATGTATTTCAGGCTGACTTTTTATGTATATGCTTGTATATATCTCATCACTCACAGCTCAACTAAGAAAGTCTGAGTCACCCATAAAGATGGCAAAAGGAAACAAGTGCACCCAAAATCCCAAGTAGGGCCTCAAGTGAGGTTAAGTCAGGATTTTGGATGTGAATTATGAACCACTACAGGGTACAGGGACCTCAAACTTGCTGGTGTAAAAGTAATCAATTCTGTGACAGAAATGGAGTCCCAGTGCTCTGAATTGCTACAAATCACTTGGGAATCTCCTTAAAATGCAGCAAATTAAAAATATGATTTATTAGGCCGGGGTGAATGCAGAGATTCTGCATTTGTAAAATGTGTTCGGTGCAGTATTTTAATGCTTTTACTCTAAAGACCAATGATGAACACACTGACACTGTATGAAAGTTTGGGATATATAGAACACAAGAGCCACATTTACAAAACTCTTTATTTACATTTTAAGCTCACATTAAAACCTTTTAGAATGGCTAAGATAAAATATACAAAGTTGATATCCACACATACACATTAATTTTTCTCTCAAAAGAATCCTATGGATGGCTTCTTGATGAACTCAGCCCCTGCCCCAAAGTTAGTGTTCCCTTAAAACGTGGTGTGAAAATGTTTTCCCATAAGAATAGTTAACTTAAATCATTCAAAACTGAGAAAGAAAAGGTTAATTTTATTAAACAGCTATCCCTACCATAAAACAGTTTTCTATTTAGAGTGTTGATATGTTCAAATAGGTCCAAATTTGATATAATAAATAAGCTTTAAATATAGAATGCTTTGGTTATTAGGCTTTGATGTGGCTTTTGGCATTACTTGCATATCATTCCAATGAGCCATTACAGGTAATCCATTTAAAACAAGACTTGCTTAATACTATTACAAAGCGCTTAGCCTTGCCTTGATAGGGAATACCTTTAAGATGCTGACAATAGCAACATATTTCTCTTCTTCTTCACTCAGGAAAAGAAAAAATCAAACAAATTCATTCCCATGTTAAAATCCACCATAAAGTAGACTTTTTATTCATTCTTAATAATACATAACCTGGGTATTTGTACATTATTGAAACACTAGACTGTTAGAGCTCCTTCTATATCCTGAAAGCTTGACTTTGTGATCTATTTATGTAAAATATGCTCATGATTAAATATATAAGCAGTGTATTTGAAGCTTCTGGGAAGGATTCACATTTAAAAGTTTTAAAATCCAGGTTTTAGAAAAATAAATAAAATACTCTGATCGGTTCTACCCCTCCCCCTCTACTTTTCTCCCTTCACTATTTGAGCTTAAGAGTTCAGGCTTCTAAAATGCAGAAGAAAGCAAAATAGAACAATGCAGGTTTCGTGATCCACATTTTGTCTTAGCGTAACATATTATCACAAAGGCAAACTTGACTCTTTCCTTGAAATGAATAGCCCATCTTCTCAGACTAATTTAAATAACTCTGAAGAAAGCCAAAGAAAGTTTAACCAGTGCTTTTAATGAGCGAGTAGCTAAATGCCAATAAAATATATAACTTGTGATTTTAAAGAATGTTGTTAAAGTCTGAAAGCCAAACCTAAACATTTAAGTTCAAATTCAATCTCTTTAAAAGATTTTTTAAAAGCTGTAAATGCTATTATAAATTGCTAGTTAAATTCCCACTCTAGGCTACAAAAATAAACTGCTGCACAAATATATAAACTTAAGGTAACTATTTCTCATGTTGATCTTTTTTCCTTTTATAAGTGCAGTAAAGCAAAAAATAAAGCACCTAGATGTTGATCCAATTAACTTTCATCTGAGCAGCACTTTGATTTTGGATAAAGGGATTCTAAATGTGGTCTAAAACTTTCCAGAAAGTCATATTTACATTCATTAAACAGCATTTTATATACATATAAATACAGATTTTTGAGAAATTAACCTATACTTTTCATAATGTAAAAACAAAAATCACAACACATGTGATCACATGCTAAAGCCAGTTACTGAAGCAGTCTGCTTGGTGTTCAGTTTTGATAGTAAAAACCTTGAGTAACTCGAAGCATATCACATAAATACACCACAGATGCATAGTTTATTTATGACCTAAGTTGCCTAGGTCTATCCACAGTTTTAAGTGAAAAAGATTCTCTGTTAAAAAGCCAATGCCATACAAGTAGCTGAGTTTACAAGTACTGTTTGCACTGGGAAGAAAGATTAGGGAAGGGATGATAGCAGATGTGACATGTTTTGAAGGGTCATTACAGGGAAGGATTAAAATTATTTTTCCAGGGGGAAATTAGGACTTTCTGATAGAGCTATCCAGACCTGAAAAGGTTTGTTTCATGAGTATGAATTCCAGTCCCACAAACTGCCATGCCTTGTCAGAGCTCTTGTGGTAAGGACTTGTGTTGGCCCTAAGCTTGTCAGGTGGGACCAATAGATGGTTAGGCCATGAGGAACCTGAAAGTTGCTTGATGCAAATTATTTTGTTGAGATTTTGAAACATCAGATGATTTCTTAGGCAGTGTTCTTGAATCTTTTGTTCCTGCCCATAACGCTGTGTGTGATTTTGCTGTTACCTGTCTTATAAATCGATGGTCTTGGCCTTCTAGAAATACATCAGAGTGAATATTTCTTATCTAATTGCTGTTCCACAAAAACAAAGAGGTGACTATACTGAGCTTTGTTGGTGTCCTAAACATAAGTCCTCCACCCATGGCTGGCCGGCTGAAGTAGGCTAAGAAGCAAAGATTTGATTTGGGGGAAAATGATTACCCATCGTAAAAATGTTGACTGCTCTATAAAGTTCCAGTCTTGAGAACTGAATGGAAAATCCCACTTGGTACTCTTTTACCTCAGATGACATGCCAGTGCTTATTGGGGTAAGAAATCCCCTTTTTTTTTTTTTAAGATCTTATTTATTTCAGAGAGAGAGAGCGTGTGCGCGAGCACGAGAGGGGGTAGGTTCAGAGGGAGAAGGAAACTCCCTACTGAGCAGGGAGCCCCATGTGGGACTTGATCCCAGGACCCGAGCCAAAGGCAGATGCCTAACAGACTGAACCAAGCCACCCAGGCGTCCCCAAAGTAAGAAATTCTTATGATCAGAATTGAAGTGTTAGAAGAATAGGAAGCATGGAAATTTTAACCTATGTTAAACAAGCAAGTAACTCTTCCATAAGTTTTTAATTCTAAAATCAAGGATTTTCAGAAGAGTAAATTCACCAAAAATGTAGAAATAAAAATCATAGTATAGCTCTAAATAAGGTCACATGGTTTATGCATTTCAAATTCTTAAAGAGGCTCTACAGTATTTCAGGAAGACCATTCGAAGTATTGTTCCCTGAGTTCTTAAAGCAACCCTAAAAGTAAGTTCATGAACTCCAAGAGTTGAGAGAGAAACCTACATGGTTTACTTATCTCCCTTCTAAGAGCAGATGTTTACTCCAAAGTGATTTGTTCCCTGCTTTCCCTATAGTTCAAATGCTTTAAGAATGTGGCTTTATCCATTTTTTTAGAAGATAAGCTCCCCAAATGAAACTTCTAAGAAGGAAAAAAAATGTTTAAAGAAAGTACAGTTTTAACATTAGTTAACAGTGCAGTTGAATAAATCAGTTTCACATCTATTATACATCGAGAGCTGTAATACTGTCACAGGTGTTAGAAGATAGAGTACTTTGGACTCTGGCTTTTCTGACCTCGGTGGTTATTGAGCCCAGGGTCTGTTACCAAAGAACCAAAATTATTGGAAACAGAATGACTTTTCCATATTTGAATGTGTAAGAATACATTTTTTTTTTTTTTTGTAAATAAAGATTAAAAGTCATCAGATCTCAAACTTTAAATATCTGGGATTGACATATAGCATTGTACATAGTATTTTTTTTTAACTCATTCAAAACTGGGGTTTTAAGACTCTTTATGTTGTGTTCATATATCTACTGTTCTGGTGGCTATTAGGATTTTTTTTTTTTTAATTCAAAACTTGGGAATGATTTAGTCTCTTTAGAAAAACTAATTATACTGAATGGAGACTCCAGGTTTGTTGCTGGCAGTTTTAGGTTGAGCTTAACTTTAAACCATTAAAGGTTAAAAAAAAAAAAAATGATTGAAAGAACCGACTGAAATGTTCCATCCATTTTAGTCAAGTGCACAAAAATGAGTGTATCCTTTGGCTTGGCTATGACCTCAATGGAGGCGTAGAAGTCAGTGGTGCTGGTGCCAGATTCCTGACTATATTACTGAGGCTGGCAATCTTCTCTTCTAGGAGGTAATTTTTCTTCTCTGCTGTTTTTTGTCGCTGTTCAGTCATTTCCAGAGCTTTCAACAACTGGGCATTTTCAACATACAAGTCCTTCACCACTGTATCTGCTTTAGTATTCTTGCAGAGCTAGAAACAGAACCAGAAACATCTTGACTCCATTTCTGTAATTAAGTTTAAGGGGTGACATTAGGACAGTTGTTCATAAAGGCAAATGACTTCTATCGGTTACATTCTTTTATTTTACAACACAGGTTTAACATCAGACCTGGCATCAGGGATACAAATAGAGCAAATCCACTTCTTCCAAGCTGTTTCTTTGCATGTTTTTAGAAGTCACTAACAAAAAGAACATATCGATATTTGAAGGCTCAAAAATCAAAGTTTTTTCCACCTAAATAAATGGTTACTGCTTTTTCATTCTCTAAAAAAATATCAGAATATGTTTATAGTTTTTGAGGTATAGAGTATGAACTTTAACTCTGGGAAGCTCAAACATCTGTTAAGAACATTCATAGCTATAACCTCCTGATTATTTTAAACTTTGGTCCATGTATTACATAGAACAAAGAGGTAAGATCTGGGCAGTTATTTTTCCTTAACTCTTCCCCTTTTGCAAGGTAGAGCTTGCCTAGAAGATATATTTTAATTTTTTAGGGTTAGAAGACAAAGTCTAGGTTGGGCTAGGAAAATTTGTCAGCAGCCTTGGGATAATTTTATTATGGTTCCTATTAATGTATTCCAATCCCCCATTTATGCCTCATTTTACACCCAATTTTAACCAGGACATCTGAAAGTATAGAGGTTTCAGGGAATGAAGAACTGAAACTTAGCTAATTTATTAGCATTTCAAAAGGGTTAACACTGAAGCCCAAGACCCGGATGCCTCTCAGGTGTAACATACTGACCCGTTCTACTGAACTGGCCTAAGACAACTTTTCATCTCTCTCCCCCTCCCTTCCTTCCTCCCTTTTAGAAAACACTTTGATGGTTCTTCATCACCTGCAGAATGAAATGCAAACTCCACAGCTCAGCACCTAAGGCTCTCTACCACCCACTCCTCCCTATTGCTCTAATTTCTTCTGCTTCTTTCAGTACTATATGAACTGTTAATGCCAAAATGTTCGCAGATGTCCACGCCCCATATGTTGCCATAACTGCATGATGTTCCCATAGCCTGGGCTGCCCTTCTCACACTTCTTCATCTGTTTAAATCTTACTCAGCATCAGTACTTGCTTTAAGAGGCCTTCAGGAAACTCACTTTAAACTCCTGAGTTGGATCAAGTACTTCTTCTCTATGTTCCCCTCTGCTGAAGTAGACTCCGTTTTCTTTATTTTTTGCCGAATGCTCAATACCTTGTAAATGAACTACCTTCCACATGGGCAGGATTTTGTTCTCTGCTGTATTTCTAGTGCTTAGAACAGGACTTGGCACATAGTAGCTATGTTTTGAATAAGTGAATGATTAAAGGATTGAATAAATGCTTATTGTATAAGACTTTCTTTCCATTTTGTGATTAAGACATTGAGCAAAGGAAAATTCCAGTCTACCTCTGCATTAAGGCATTTTCTTGGGCTTCTTCTTCTTTTTATATAACTAGAAAACCACTTGGACAATTTCTGCTCCCGCTCCTCAGTTCTTAGTCTCAGTTTCCAAAGCACTACAACACATTCCTATAAAGTAGTCCTTTTTTTTTGCATGTCATCAGATTTTACACAAATACTTTACAAACATAGGACCCACCTGCCAGCAGTAGGTGAAAAGGATCAGTTTATACAGTGGTCCTGGAATTCCGGGTCCCTATTCTAATTCAGAGCACAGCCTTTTGGGGTCTGATTATAGCCATGAGTACTTTTACAGCCATAAGTACTTTTATAGCTGTTGCAAATAGGAAAAGCTAAAGTTCCACTTATTATCCCCCCATTTTACCAACGTAAATTTTGTGTTTACTTAAATTGAATGTTTCCGGTCTTGGGCAAATAAAAAAATCTACAAAAATTCAATTTGAGCTGAACTTTGTTAGGAATTAATTTGTTAGGTCCGCATCAGTCTCTGTCAGCAAACGTACATTTTTAAAATTGTGGACCAACCTGCCTTAAAAGAGCTTTGGGAGAATAATGCAGAATACAGAATTCATGCTTCTGGAGTGGTATGGGGGAAGAGTGAGTCCTAAATTCAGCTATATACATTTGTAGTAGCATTTGCCTTTATTCGACAGCAAAAGTGAATGAGTTAATGGCGATAAAGGAATGGAAAGCTGGAGTTAAAAGTGGAATGTGAGGTGGGCGGGTAGAGGTGACCCGGGAGGCTCACTTGTTCTTTGAGCTGATTCACTTTCTCCTGAAGAAGCCTTTTCACCAGTTTCAGTTTCTGTTCAACTTCCATCATTCGTTCCTCCATGACCGTTACCAGTTGCTCCTGGCTTCCCTGAAGGGAAGAACAGAAAAGGGTATTATCATTGGAAAATCATGCCATACTGGAAAGAAAACACTAATAATTTATTTTTTCCCACAAGATGCCTAGACAAAGGACAGGAAATGTTTGCCTTTGGAACTGGAAGGGTGGATTTCTGGTGAAATGGGAGTTCTGAACACCGGGGTTGCACATTAGGAAAGAAACGCTATCAGAGAAAGAATCAAAGATTAAAAAAAAAAAAATCTTACCTGTGTTACCATCTTCCCCTGAGATAAAGCAATATTCTTAAAACCCAGAATTTAGTACCTGTGTGCATCTCTTCCAGTAAAATAGGTATCCAAAGTAAATTAAGCTATGGTTATCAAACTTCCATCTGTGACTGGGGCCTTTGCCATACTGTGGGTCTCTCAAGAATAAAACAAACAGAACAAAGCCAATCGGCTTGCAATGTGTGTGTCCATTTCTCCTGCATGGAATGGCTGGTTACTGGAAGGGTGTTAGTGTTCCTTTCCTCGTAACTAACAGCTTCTTCCTGCCAGTTACTGTAGTCAGTGGTTCCCAGTTTGCTTGTCAGTGTGAAGCAAACATGCGTACTGGAGGTTGGGTTTATCCTAAAAGATGTAAAATCAGGAATCCTCTCTGCCTCCATGACTCCTAGGTAGAACAATAGGGGAGAAGACCCTGGCTGTTCCTTCTCTCCCCACATAACAGTGATGGATTTAAGGAGTTGTGTGGGGTTTGGAGAGCCCGAGAACCCAGGGAGAGACTCAGTACTACCAACTGCCCCTCCCGGCAGGCTGCTAAAATGTCCACATAAGAAATTTGAGATTTTAAAAGGTTCTTCAAATGTTTAAGCAAAACTCAGGTGTTAATGGCTGATAGTATTATTCCTTTTAAAAGCACGCAGAATGACCAAACATGGGTTGAGAGCCAACATTGGTTGGGATAAAATAACAGCATTTATTCAGATAAAAGCAACTAAACCATGTGATGATTTGAAGACAAAAACTGTAGTAGGCAGAAGTCTAATGCAGAAAGTAAACCTCAAGAAATCAGGCCTTGACCACATCTAGCTCTAAAAAACACTCTTTTAAAAGCTATAATGGCTTTTTAAATTTCAAACATAAATGGAAAATGCCTGATTTCTACTTGCCTAAAAAAACAAAATAAAGCAAAACAATAACAACAACAACAAACCGTAACAGATAACTCAAAGAACACAGAACACGGCAAAAGGGGAAAGAGGAAAAACAAAGGCAGTCATATATTTAAAATTTATTTTATTGTTTTGTCAAAATTTTCCTTTTTTCCTGTCAAAAAAGCATTATACATCTTATACAAAACAGTATAAATAACCCAAATTTTCTTCAAATTCCATATATAAAAGTAGTACCTCTCGTTAAAAATAGTTACAGCATATGGAATGAGAAAATAGAATACATCCTTTTAAGAATCTCAAGTCCACACTCTTTAAATGGTATAAATAAAACGATTCAAAACAAGCTTAAGTTTGTGAATTTGATTCACAAAATCTGTCATTTCTACATTAATAAATAAGAGACATAATACTGCAAAGGCATAAAAATAAAAATAAAAATTTAAAAGAGCACTTGATTCCAAAACGTTTTTCAGCTTATGTGTGTGTGGGGGGGGGGTGTGGGTGTGTGCACTGAGTATCTGCCAGGGTAAGAAATGTCAGCAAAAGCAGCCCAGTTTTCACAGGTGCCCAATCCTTCTGTAGGAATCTGCGTGCACTGCTCGCTGCTCCGGTAGCAAGGCCTAGAGAAAGAAGGCAAGTGGTACACTTCACCCTGATGTCAAGATTATGTTTTGGGAGGAGTCTAAATTCACACATTTATAATGCAAACAGTTTTTAAAAGCACACACATTAACACTCCATCTGCAAGCAAAGCAACACAGAGGCAGGAGAAATCATCACTCCACACAGGCAAGGTGCAGATTCTAATAATGTTCTGTCATCTTCATTCGTGTCAACTCCGTTCTAACAGAAGTAGGAGAGTGGGCAGTGGCGTTCTAGTGAGAACAATAAGCAGTTCACTCTGCTGTTGGCTGGAGAAATTTTTTTCTCTGTACAAAAATCTTAACAGTTTTTGTCCTCCTAATCCTGAAGTATCAGAGTAAAAGGATATCATTTTTAAACACTGGCAGGTGGGGTGGAAAAGCATGCTCTGAAAACAGTGTATATGAGAAAGCAGTGGATAAAGTCTTCCCCTAATCCTTTGGTTTAAAATGTCTGTCAAAAAGTGAGGTCAAGATGGGATGGGGAAGGGAGACAAACCATAAGAGTCTCCTAATCTCAGGAAACAAACTGACGGTTGCTGGAGGGGAGGGCGGTGGGAGCGGGGAGGAGTGGCTGGGTGATGGATACTGGGGAGTAGGGTATGTGCTAAGGTGAGCGCTGTGAGTTGTGTTAAGACTGATAAGTCACAGATCTGCACCACTGAAACGAATGACACATATGTTGATTTAAAAAACTGAGGTCAAGGTTTTATAATTCAGTTCTGTAACTGTTGAATTGTTGAAGCATCTGTTCAATACCCCACCGGCACAGCTTTACTATGGGAAACTGAAGTGGAATAGCAGAAACTTCCAAAAACGTGGATTTTTAAAGCACAAAAGACAAAAATAATTTTAAGGTTTGTTTGAAAGCAGAGCTGACAGAAGCATATCATGACAGAGCATAGCTATCTACTACTAGAAGGGGAAGACAGAACTGCTTCAAGAGTATAATTATGGTGCTAATTTGACTTGTAAAGCCACTTTGAGAGGATTACAGAAAAGGAGGTGGGGAAATTCCTTATGAAAAGTCAACTGAGAGAAAACAGAAGAAAAGCATCCAAACCAGAACGAATTCAGAATTATACAGACTACGGAGTATTTTTTAACTTTATTCCTAGTTCTGAATAAACAAATTGGGCAAGCAAAAAGCGTTAAGAGACTTCTGAAAAAGCTTGACTATGAATGAAGCACTTTAAGAGAAGTATTTGAAAACCCAGGTAGTATCACATTGTGTCTGCAGCGAGCTAGGGTAATGCTACTTCAAAGGAAAGGGGGAAAGATGTTCCTTTTCTTAAAAAGAGGTTTTCAAACTCAATCATTTGCACTTGAATTCTGTAATATTTTTGGCATCAGACAAATGTCAAGTCAAAAAAACTTGGTCCGTTCGGTCAGTTGTACATTATGCTCAGGTGATCTTGATACTTCATCAATTACGAAGGTGCAATTGAGACCCACAACACTCTGTTACCTAGCTTGGAAGCTGAGAGCACAAGAGCATCACTGCAAAAACACCAAAACCAAACCCCAAAATAACACTGCAGTTCTGCGGATTTGTCCTACAGGAAAGGTGGAGCTCTCTGACAGAGATTTCGGTTCTCTGCCCCCACCCCAGAATGGGTACAACTTTCCTATAAACAGGCCAAATTCCGCGAGCTGAGTTAACTGGCAGGGAGGAAAGAGCCTCGTACCTGTGGTGTGTTGGTTTCGGAGGTCCTGTTTTCAAGTTCCTCCTGCAGGCACTGATTTATCCTCTCTGCCTGCAGCAGCTGGTGTTGAAACTGCAGAAACTGCTCCCTGGGCACCATTGGACAGGCTTGCTGCTGGCGCAGCTGGAGATCCCAGGCGTGAGGGGACGGGCTAAGCGTCACAGTGGACCTCAGGTGCTGCTTCTGGAGGACAAAGGCAAAGCCCGGGTCAGCGGTGCTGCGTCCCAACACAGCGCTACTCTTAAAAGTGTCAAGCAGAGTGAATGAAGCTGACGGATTCAGTAACGGCCTCTCAGACCCCCTGATAACTTGAAAACAGGACAGTAAGTGACTGGAGTAGAAGTAATGGGGAAGCATCGTTTTCCTTAGGAGATAATACAGTTTTCGACTTGAAACACTGTACTTCCTCACTCTTGAGGGACTCTAAAGGCATGAGGTACACAATATACATAGTGTGTCTAAATTCTACCTCACTGTCTCCTTATACTAGAATGTTTAATTACGCCACTTTAAACAAACGAAACACGGGGTTGGAGTAAGCGAAGGGGAGAAGGTGATGATGCTTTAGGGTTTTGCCACTTTACTTACCATTCATAAAGATTCTTAAAAGCAAATGTTCAGGGACCACCTATTTTCCAGGATAGCCACAGAACCTCCTATCTAAAATTATTTGACCCCATTTTAGTTTACCAACGTTAAACTCTTAAACAGCACTGTAAGATAAGCAATTCTGGGACAAAGGGGGAATATCCGAGAAGCCCCTGGGGAACTGAAGTACGTGGAACAGAAGTATTTGTTCAAGACAATGAGGAAATGGTTATGTGTATCACATGCCAAAGCTGGGGAGAGGAAAAAGGAGGAGAACACACTGCATTTGGCCAGGGAGGCATGCCCCTTCCCATCTATCGACACATTCAGCAGACACAGGACTCCACAGAAGGCATGCAATGAACGTGACCAGGTACCAGACTCAAGCAGCAGCTCCTCCAGGCTTGTGAGAAGGGAAAAAGGCCCTCCAAGACATAACTCTAATTAAACGTTATGAAACTTCAGAGCCACTATCCATTTCCTGAAATCTAAACTTCGGAGGTGGGAGAGGACCCATTTTGAAATTTTCTAGTTGTAGATTCAGAAACCCACCATTTTATTTTCAGGAATAAAAAAATAGAATTTTGATCCCATGATTTTATACCAGCAGGATGATTTTCTTCAGGTAGGTCTTCAAATACGGAGGGAAATCCTGGTATACATGTAAACAGAGACCTATTCCATAGTCAAAGCAAGATGAAAATGAATATTGGCTCTTATGTATTTACTGTCACAATCAGTAGAAATTATTATGTGAACAAGGAGGCTAATGAGATATCTCCATGCTATGAAATTCATTGAAAGAGAACGTTCTACCTTCACACACTATCTCAGGCAGAGAACTGCACCCTTCTCTGCTAGTTCCAACCACAGACTTCTAGGTACAGGTTAGCCACAGATAAAACAGAAACAAAAGAAAATTACAGGAGTCATAAAAAGAGGAAGAAAAGTATGAGTTATAAAAAGAGAACAGTTAAAACTGGGTATATTATATACCCAAACATGTGTGCTCTAGTCCGTAAGAACTTACAAGGGACCAACATTTACATTTCTCTGTGAATCAGTTTCGCAGACCTTAAAATGTCTCATCGCTCTACTCCTGTAACTGCTTCTTCACCTACTGTGGTTTGGTTAGTTTGTGAACTTAACACCCTTACCTCCACCTATCCCTAAAGAATTATTTAGAACATTCCAGGTCCAGTCTGGATGGATCAGATACTAAGTTCTTTTATAGTTTATATTCTGCATCCCTAAATGGCAATTTTGTTGCTCAAGTGTTGGAACCGTTGGCTAAGGCAGAGCTGAGAACTGCTGATACAGACTGTAACCCTTTTCCTGAACGTTCACATTGAATTGTTTATAGAACATTGCCTCATGTCACTGAAAAAGCCCTGGAGTGGGAATAGAAGATCCCAGATTACTAGATGAGGAAATGGAAGAATTTAATTGCCCTAGGCTATGGAGGCTATGGGTATGTATTGTATTAGCTCAGTGACTACTTTTTTTTTTTTTTTTTTTTTAAGATTTTATTTTTAAGTAAAATCTCTACACTCAACACAGGGCTCAAACTCAGAGCTGCACACTCCAACGACTGAGCCAGCCAGGGGCCCCTAGATCAGTGACATGTAAACTGGCATACAAGGATGAGGAGAAACTCCTTCCCGCGAGGGAGGGCATACACCAGATCAGAATGGCCTAGAAAGCTTTTTTTAAAATCCTCCGATACCAAAGATTCTGATGGAGGAACATCTCCCCGCCTGCTGCTTGCTCCTCACCCAAACCCAGTGAGAATCCCTGCCAAGTGAGAGGAATGTACCTATCTCTCAGGTGAGGTGGGCATAAAAAAATGGTATGAAAACTACCATACGTGCCCCAAAGTGGACTAATTTATAGATAACAGAACATAAATAAGAACCTGTTTTGTAGGGCTAGCATGATGGGGAGAGTTACTGCTTAATGGTTAGAGTGTTTGAGGTGATGCAAAAGTTTTAGAAGTAGTGGTGATGGCTGTAGAACACTGTGAATGTAATTCATTCATGCTGCTGAATTTTAAAATGGCAAATTTTGTTATGTAAATACCAAAGTCATAAAATTATACTTTAAATAGGTGTGCTTATATGGTATATGACTTACATGTTAAATTTGTATCAGTCTATACAGAGTTAATAGCTCTCCTATTGCCTAAAAAAGTTTCATTAGAATAGTGTTTCATTAGAAAAGATGTTCTTTTCAGTGTTCCAATGGAAAATTCATGCCTTTTCTTTATTCAGCTCTGATGCCAGGAACATTCAATTTGCCTCATTCATGAGCAAATATTTACTATTCAATCGAGGAGAAAAATAATGAAGGGAAATTGGTTATGATGGCTAATCATGTAAAGCGGAGTTAGGAAGAGAGAGGGGTTTCTGAGGCCGGTGAGAGCGGGTGGGAGAAGAGCGGGCCTGCTGGCAGAACATTTGGAGAGGCTCTCCCAGTGACTAAGTATACCCTGTTACTGTTCAGTTTGGGACGAGACATGTGGAGCTTAGCTTCAGATCTCTTATTCATCACAATATATAATTATTTCATCAGAAAGCATGTCTACATCAAAACACAGCCTGCAGCTTAAGCGCTGAACACATTTATTATATGCTGTCAGAGAAAGAAAAAAAATGGTTTGGATTTCACTATTTATAGTTTAATCTCCCTATTAGTGAATAAATCAGAGAACATAAAATTGGCAGAAACCTCAGTGGTCATTTAAATGCCAGTATGACATATCTGCCCGTATTTCACGTTTAAAAAACATTTATTTAAAGCTACTTCTGCATGTGTCCAGCTTCATAAAAGATTTAAATCTCTCTCATCCTCTAATTCTGGCTCTAAAATATTTGTATACCTAGTACTTTCTAAGAGCACAAAAAGACATTTCCTACCCATGCCTCTCTACCTTAAATAAACTTTACAGCTCACTATATGACATGTTCATCTACCCAAGCCAAAAATCTTGGTGCAATTTTTACTTATTAAGGAGGATTTGTACGTAAGTTGTTTTAGATCCTAAAATTGCATTTATATTCAGAAAGGATCTAGAAACTCAGTGTCCAAGCTGAAAAGTTTTACAAGTCCATTTTTGTATTGAACAGATTACCCCTCACAAGGCCGTGCTGAGTTTCAAATGTAGTAATGCACAGTGACAGCACTTGAAGATTAAGCTTCTAAATGCTAATGCTCCCAAATTCCCTCCATGGATTTCCTAACTAAAAAGGCTGTTAGCAATCCCATCTGTAAAACACTACAACGGGGGAGGTATTAGGAAACTGTTATAACCCAAGGAGTGGGGTCGAGGGAGGGGGAGCTCTGGACCTCCTGGCCAAGATCAGACCAAGTCCCCACCACCTGAATTTGTGGAGGTCTGTGTCCTTCCTTGCATTTTAGGACAGTCAACATTATTCCTTCCTCTGTGAACAACTATGAATCCCTGTGACTATGTAATGAGCAAAAATGACTATCAGTCTTAGTAAGACAAACCAAAGAATTTAGCTTGGTGGCAAACTTTTCCACTTTTCTTCATAATCAGAATTCAATGCTAGGTTAGCCTCTCCCAACAAATGTCACATCCACGGATTAAAATATTCTTCATAGCTAAGGCCAGCTGCTTAAAAACTTACCTCCATTAGCTGCTCGTCCAGTTTTACTTGTTTCTTTTTCAGGCCTTCATTTTCCAAATGAATTGTTTCTAGTTCTCTTTCAAGGGAATTCATCTGACTGACCTGCTAAAAAACAAAAAAAATTCCCTTTAAAAAAGCCAAATCCTTGGATTGCTCTACTTTATTTTGACAAATTTGTGCTAGTCAGAAATCTTAACCCTTGGAAGAAAGCAGAGTTCACTCAGTGAAGGAAAACAACAATATAACTGAGTGCATTGGTTACATTTAAGTAGGATAGTGTTTTTTGTTTTTGTTTTTTAAGATTTTATTTATTTGTCAGAGCACAAGCAGGGGGAGCGGCAGGGAGAGGGAGAAGCAGGCTCCCTGCTGAGCAAGGAGCCTGATGAGGGGCTCTATCCCAGGACCCTAGGATCATGACCTGAGCTGAAGGCAGATGCTTAACAGACTGAGCCAACCAGGTGCCCCTAGGATAGTTTTTAATCACCACTGCTTATGTGGAACAGATTCCAGAAGGCACTTGGCTTTCAAACTTCAGTGCCGCCCACTATACAAAATATATCCAGGACATAAGCCCACGCCCATAACCAGTTATAAGTACATATCCCTGAAAGAAAGCTTTCATGAAATGAAATTTATCCTTATCATGAGCCATGTACTCTGATACTTCCTAGCATATTTTATTAATAAAAAAGGCTGAATCACTAAATTTCATGACCCCCTACTATGGAGTTGCAGTGGGAAAAACGTTGTCTTTAAGGCAAAGCTTATTTATTCTTTTTTAGGATTTTATTTGACAGAGACACAGTGAGAGAGGGAACACAAGCAGGGGGAGTGGGAGAGGGAGAAGCAGGCTCCCTGTGGAGCAGGGAGCCCAATGTGGGGCTCGATCCCAGTACCCCAGGATCATGACCTGAGCAGAAGGCAGATGCTTAAAGACTGAGCCACGCTGGGGCCCTAAGGCAAAGTTTAAAGTTTTAAATCAGAGAGTACATAAAACCTGAGTTGGAGAACTCCATTCTCAATTTTAAAGATGAAATTTGAAGATTTCGTGAGTATCCATTTTTGGAATTCTCTATTATAGGAGGACTTCAATGAGCTACGTGATCCTGGAATTCAGAATATTGCTAAGCAGAAAATACAGGACACTTCTAGAATGCTGATTTTGGTTTCTATCAAAAAGAGCTGAGGAGAGGAGCAAGAATTGTTAGAAGCGTAATCTTCTCAGGTTAAAACTACCATTAGACTTTTCCCTTAGCAGCTGGATGAAACCCTTTATCTTTCTGAAAAGTTTACTTGAATGTACCTAAAATTGAATGGTATCTCCCCCTTGAGAGCACAAACCAGTCTTCTTACTGCCTATGGTCATGATAAATTTTATAAGCTTAAAAGTTTCATACAATTTTTATAACAGAAGTAATTGACTGTTCATCATTCTTCCCATAATTTTTACACAAACCATAATTTTCAGAAGAGGAAGGTAACAGTGAAAACTCTGAGTTTTAGTTAGAAGAAAAAAACAAGTTAACAACAAGAACTCCCAGGGTAACATTGGTTTTAGAACTCTTACTTCATGGAACAAAGTACAGAAAGCAAACCGAGTGATGCCACTGAGGTTCAACCACGTGGTAACCAACCTCCAAGATGGTCCCTCCTGATCTCCACCCCCTTCCTGGGGTTCACACCATTGCATAGTTTTCCTGTAACAGGGTCAGTCTGTGTGACCGAAGGAAGACAGCAGAAATGATGGTGTGTCACTTTCACGATTAGCTTATAAAAGGCTCTACAACTTTTGGGATCTTTCTCCTGTCACTGCTATGTCCTGGGAAAAGGCCCGGGTAGTGAGGAGCTGAGGCCTCTGGTAATCAGCCAGCAGGGAACAGAAGCCTCCTCATAACCATTACATTATTGAACTTGGAAGTAGAACCTCTAGTACTTCAGAAGCCTTCAGATAAATGCAGTCCCAGCTGATACGCGGACTGCAACCCTGTGAGCCCCACAGGCAGAACCACTCAGCTAAGCTGCTTCTGAATTCCCCACCCCCAGAGACGCTGAGACAATAGACGTGTGTTGTTTTAATTTGTTACACAGCAATGGGTAACTAATAACATACTAAGATGTTTCTAATATTCAGGATATATACACTTAAAAATAGATTTCACTAACTTAAAAGGGCTATAGTACTACTGAAAATGATTAACCATCTTCATTATGAATATTAAACTGCTCCTATCTAACCATCACTAAATCAGAAAGAACTATGCTACTATTTGATAAGATCACAAAAGTATAGAAAGATGGAAGAACCAAAATAGTCCACTGGAATCATTTCCCTGGAAGCCTGCAGGCAAAGAAACCTATGCATGGGGACACATCATGGTAAGGACATAGACACATGGTATAAAGTCTTAAAACTCACTTTCTTATTAGTAGGAGATTGTTCCTTTTGAAACTGTTCACATTCTCTCTTTAAGCTCAACTTCTCTTGCTCTGTGGGCTTCACAGTACCTGATGGGTTTAGATGTTTTTGGTGCTTGGGGGGAAGAAGGTTGGATTCCAGCTGACGGACCTAACAAGAACGTACGTGAGAGGAAGAAATGTTAATCTAGTCATCCAGCAAGAAAGAAAAAAAATGAACATGAGAAAATATTTTTTCACCCTTGGGTTTTGTTGTATCAAAAATGCTTTTTTTTTCTCCAGTTAAGTCTGCCAATTCTTTTTTTTTTTTTATTCTATTTATTTATTTGAAAGACAGAGTTGGGGAGACAGAGAGAGAGAGAAAGACTCCCCACTGAGCAGGGAGCCCAACATGGGGCCCGATTCCAGAACCCTGAGGTCATGACCCAAGTCAAAGGCAGACGCTTAACTGACTTGAGCCACCCAGGTGCCCCAAATCTGTCAATTCTTGAAGTCTGCTTTTTTGCATTTCAAAAAATCCTTCTGGGGAAATCGATTTTTAGTCTGGCTGGGTGTAAAACTCCAACCCTGTAAGGATCAGACTGAGACACGGGGGACCTCTGAATCTACCAAACTACAGGGAGTCGAATAGTGTGACGTGGCTGTCGCAAAAACAGATGTAGTCCTAGGCATGTTCTGACAGGAGCATAGCTTTTAGGAGTCAATGAGGTGACAGTCCCCTCCACTTTGTCTTGGACTGTTCACACCTGAAACAATGCATTTATATCAACCAAGTTCCATGCGGACAGTGACCCCGTCTGTCTTGTCGACACTGCACCTTCTGTGAGCGCAGTCTCGGGCACAGAGCAGGTCTTCTAAATGACTCTGCGGCTCTTCTGAGAGTTCTTTCTTAAAAGAGGTGTTTCAGCAGAGTTGGTCAACTGCTTAGTGGAAGAAAAGAATATAAACATCGGTGGCTAGAAAAGCCCCTCTTCAGAGACCATTCTAACCTTGAGTCTTTTTAAAAAGAGGTCCCTTTTCTCTCCAAAAAGTCTAATTTTGCCATTTTTTTTATTACCAGTCTTTTTGAATTAGTCCATTTTGAACAAAGAATATATGGTTAACATAATTCCCCTGGGGCACCTGGGTGGCTCAGTGGGTTAAAGCCACTGCCTTCGGCTCAGGTCATTGTCCCAGGGTCCTGGGATTGAAGCCTACATGGGCTCTCTGCCCAGCAGGGAGCCTGCTTCCTTTCCTCTCTCTCTGCCTGCCTCTCAGCCTGCTTGTGATCTCTGTCAAATAAATAAATAAAATATTTAAAAATAAATAAATAAATAAATAAATAAATAAATAAATATTTTTTTTTAAAACCCCATAATTTCCCTGAGGCTATTCTGGATAGGAGGATTAAAATCATTGACTTAATATAGAACTGATGATGCAAAATGAAAACTATTCTATAAACATACCACGGTAAAATTATTAGCAAGTAAATGATAAATTATACATTCTTGGGGTACCTGGGTGGCTCAGTGAGTTAAAGCCTCTGCCTTCGGCTCAGGTCGTGGTCCCAGGGTCCTGGGATCGAGCCCCACATTGGGATCTCTGCTCAGCAGGGAGCCCGCTTCCCCCCACACCCCTCTCTCTGCCTGCCTCTACTTGTGATCTCTGTCAAATAAATAAATAAAATCTTTAAAAAAAAAAGGCGGGGGGCACCTGAGTGGCTCAGTAGGTTAAAGCCTCTGCCTTTGGCTCAGGTCATGATCCCAGAGTGCTGGGATCGAGCCCCGCATCGGGCTCTCTGCTCAGCGGGGAGCCTGCTTCCTCCTCTCTCTCTGCCTGCCTCTCTGCCTACTTGTGATATCTGCCTGTCAAATAAATAAAATCTTAAAAAAAAAAACAAAAAAAACTAAACATTCTGAAAGTAAGTCTGCCATGGCAGAATACTCAAATCCACACCCTACAGCCATTTCAATCACATTTTCCCATCAAAGTATTTTCAAATCTATGCCAGCAACTGCAGCTTTTCAAGTTACCTTGTCCTGGGAGTGCGTGAGTTCAGCTCTGGTGTTCCGCACCACGGTCTGGAGTCTCTCGTTCTCCTGCCGAAGTAGCTGTTGTTCCTCCTTTATCAGATGATCCATCTTGTCCCAAGTCAGCTTTGGCTGCTGCGTATGGAATCCTGGTGGATGGGTGGCTGTTTCTGGGGCATGGTTCTTAAAGAGCAAAGGGCAGAGTTAAGCCTTAAAAACAAGCTCATTTCTGTTTTGAATGTATTTAACTCAATGACAATAATTCTTAGCACCTTTCATTCTTCACTCTTTCTAATGGAGGTGTGACTGTATGTTGTATACATAGATATAAAAACAGTATTTTGGGAGTTTGATTTTAAAAAGGTTTGGAAATTCTGCTGAAAATGATCTTTGGCAAAATAGCCCCAGCAAATCTAATAGGAAAGATGACTGTAGGGCAAGTCCTGATTCTATAGAGAACCCAAGTGTATAGAGATCGGTGGCCTTAAAAATTGCTCCATCCTTATGAAGGTAACGCTTTGGGCCCCAGATAACTATTCTTTTGGTTAACAGAGGACACAAAGGGAACTTTAAAGCGCACTGCTAACTTGAAAGCCTTCACAAGCTAAACTCTTTTCACATTTGCAGTCAGATCCTTTTTTTAGAATCTAAAGCACTTACTGTTCATGTAATTGAGGCCTGAACTCCAGAACATGCTTTTAGCTATCAGAGCGATTTTTTTGGATCCTGGAAAATGCTTTAAAAACGGTAACAAGTAGGTAAGCCTTTTGCTTTTTAAGCCAAAACATGAAAAAAAAAGTTACGATTTCATTTTGAGGAAAACGTCAGCCCAGAAGTAATTTTAAAAAATGGAAACAACTATTTTCCTTTAACAAAATAAAAAATAAAAAGGAGACACCTAGATGGCTCAGTGGGTACAGCATGAGAATCTTGGTCTCGGGGTCATGGGTTCGAGCCCCACATTTGGTATGTAGCCTACGTAAAAAAATAAAATATAAAAAAAAATAAAAAGATGTGAAATAACTGGATTAAAATAACTGTCCTACTTTTACAGTAGGCAAAACTCTTAACATCTCCACAGGGCTGACATCAGTAACACCATTTTTCATTTCTATGCACACAGATGAAGCAGCATTTTGATACATTAAAATAAGACATACTTTATACAAAATCAAAATGTTTTAGTTTTGTTACTACAAAATAACTCAGCATGGTCTTCTGTCTTGCACATTACAAAAAACAACCTTGTCACTGTGGTTCCATTTATCTGAATTTCAGAAACAGGCACCCCTAACCTACAGTGGCAGAAGGCAGAGAAGTGGTTCCCTTGTGGTTACCAACCAGAGAGGAGACCAGAGAACCTGCTGGGTGCTGGAAATGGTCTGTATTTTGAGCGAGGAGGTGTTTACACAAATATAAACATATGCACATAATAAGTTATAGACTTACAACTTGTGCGCTTTACTGTATAAAGTTCTACCTCAATAAAAAAGAAATTACCTTGTCACCAGCATTCTGAAGTTGCTTATATAAAGACATCACTTCTTGTTTTAAAGCCTCCTTTTCCTGCTGAGTCACTCGTAGGTCAGATTTAATCAGTGACATTTGCAAATTTACATTCTGCAGGGTGTCTTCTAAACTCTGAACCTGTATCATAAGAACAATCTTACACTTGACACAGATCCTCACGGTCTCACCAAACATGTCCAGGAATGAATGAGCTAGGACAAGAGGTCCTAACAAGGTCCCTTCTGTTTCTTTTTATTTATATACAGCTTTTTTCAGTAGCTTAGTGGAAACCCCAGATATTATGTATATTTACAGGATGCAATATTTAGGTCAGTGATGAACTGTGCTCTGGAACAGGGTCCTGCTGATAGCGTCATCTGGTATATTACCAAGTGGTATCTCACAGAAACCAATGAGAACCAACTGGCATGACAGAAGATGGCTTTACTCAATTTTGTAGAGATTGTGTTTTAGCCAGTGGTGTTGGTTTGTAAAGGATCTCTTAGTTAGAAATGAAAATATGTAGCTGTCAGAACCCTACTCTCCATGCTAACATCTAGTATATATTTTAATTAAAAACAATTTAAATTTGTAAAAGCAAGGTTGATAGAGAGCTTTAATAGGGCATGAATCTGCCTTAGAAACCCTTTTTCTAAATGAGAAAAAAAGCAATCCTTTCTACACATTATTCTCAAGCTTTCATAAGTAATCTCATAATTCTAACAATGAGCTTTGAGGGAACTGTTCAAATTATTTCATCATACCATAAACATGTGACAGGTATTAGTCAAGTTGTATCATCTGAGCCCTCGTAGGCCAGTTGCACCTGGAATATTCTTTCTACTGGGAGTTCTGCTGGAATATCCAGGAAAATATTAACTGGGCAGATGAAACAAGAATTGGCCACATACCTTTTCCTGTGAAGCCATGAGTTGGGACTTTAAGGTTTCACTCTGGTGTTCCCAAGACTTCTGTTCTTGCTTCATAGTAGCAATTCTATGCTCTAAAAGACTTGATTTTGCCAACTGTTTCGGGAAAAGAAAAGAGGGAACAGGGCTTTTTGCATACATATCTAGCCTCAATTTCTGTACTGCTGCATATACTGAAAAGATCAAGCACCGTCTGTTTACATGGGGGAGCAGGGCAAGGTCAAAGAGAGGTGTCTTCCTGACTCCCTTTCTACCTTTAATTTTGAGGAGTCTCTTCTTTTTGGCGATTCCCATTTTTCTCTCTCATTGCCTCATTGTGGGTGAGAAATGGTAGGCTGGAATGCAATTAGAAATTGCAAGAGGCCCCTGGGTGGCTCAGTTGGTTGGGTGTCTGACTCTTGATTGCAGCTTAGATCATGATCTCAGGGTCGTGAGATTGAGCCCCGAGATGGGCTCTGCACTGGGCACGGAGCCGGTTTGGGATTCTCTCTAGGCCTCTCCCCTCCTGCGACCTCCCCACTTCAGTCTCGAGAGAGTACCGTAACAGGAAAATGTGAAATGCCTATCAAGGCCTGTGGGACAAATGTAGTGTTTGGGGATTTGCTAGGGAAAATAGAAAAAAAGTGTCGAAGTAATAGATTTTAGGTTACTAAAAGCAACAATATTTATATTATATGTTAACAGTGATATATCTAATAATATACCTTAAGGGGCACCTGGATGGCTCAGTCAGTTCAGGGTCTGACTCCTGATTTTGGCTCAGGTCATGATCTCAGGGTCGTGAGATCCAGCCCCCGGTTGGGTGTGGAGTATGCTTAAGGTTCTCTCTCTCCCTCTGTCCCCTGCCTCTGCTCGTGCTCTCTCTCAAGAATAAATAAATGTTTAAGTAATATACATTAAGTAACATGGTTATATATTAAAATGAGATAAACTACATATTACTATATATATAATAATATAATTATTAACCAACATAAACGCCTGTCAAAATCATGACCTCGGGAATTCTTAGGTCACATAAGGCCAGCTGAAATGTTGTTCTACTAGGAGACCTTGGAACAATTAGGCTAAAATGGGAGGCCCATATGCCATTGTCCAGAGAAATGCTCATTATAGTATACACTATATAATAATGGTAAAATGTCTTATGTTTACTACCTTATCCACACAGCTATTTAATTCTTCACTCAGAGCTTCCTTTTCTTTCAGCAGTTTTTCATTGTAGCTTAGAACACTAGAAAGTTTTTGCTGGAAGTCGGAGAGATCAGGACATCTGTGCAGCTGTAAGAGATAAACAATCCCATCACATCTCATGGCTGTGTTTATAAAGAGTATTTATAAACAAGGCATTTTTGTGCTGCTATTTCCTATCTATATAGATATTTCAGAGGACATATAAACTGAGGGGACTAAAATTAAATTCAACAGAATGCTCCCTGCTACATTCTCTCCATTCTCCAATCGACTGCCAAAATGTCTGCCCAGAGAGATTCACGTAGACAGATACGGTTATATCATGGTCCTTGCTTTCTGTTTAACTTCAGGGCAAAATAAGTAACATACCGCCATTCTGTCATCACTTTAACTTGTGCACATATATAGCATAGTACATTTTCCTCAGGCTTTTTTAACGAGAAAAAAATCTTTTTCAGAAATCTTAGGGGGCACCTGGGTGGCTCAGTGGGTTAAAGCCTCTGCCTTCGGCTCAGGTCATGATCCCAGGGTCCTGGGATCGAGCCCCACATCGGGCTCTCTGCTCAGCAGGGAGCCTGCTTCCTCCTCTCTCTCTGCCTGCCTCTCTGCCTACTTGTGATCTCTGTCTGTCAAATAAATAAATTAATTAAATCTTTAAGAAAAAATAAAAAAATAAGTCTTAGGACTACAGAATTGGCATGAACAAAGTACAGTAAATCAATGCAAGGGCAAGTCTTAAAGCTAAAACAGTGAGTGTTTTTCAGTTTGATCTACGTTCCCTTCCCTTTGGAAGAAGCCAAAACTGACTTGCTTCAGAAAATGTTCAGCGTGGACAAACTGGCTTTCTCCTCTCTACTGAGAACAAGACAAACCAAGTTTCTGTTCCATTTCAGTACCTAACTTACAAGCATGGACATTTTGGGCCAGATAATTCTTTGTTGGGGAGAGTGTCCTGTGCACTGGTGGATGGTCAGAAACATCTCTGGCTTTACCTGATAGATGCCTGTTGCACTCCCTTCCCCACATACCAGTTGTGAAAGCCAAAAATGGACCAAGACATTGCTAGACATCCCAGGGTTGGGGAGTAATTCCCACTCCAGTAACAACTGCTCTAAAGAGACTGACTGTTTCTTATACTTCTTTACCCTTTCCCATAGTTTCTACATTTTTTAAAAAAGATTTTATTTATTTATTTGACAGAGAGAGATCACAAGTAGGCAGAGAGGCAGGCAGAGAGGGAAACAGGCTCCCCGCTGAGCAGAGAGCCCAAGGTGGGGCTCGATCCCAGGACCCTGGGATCATGACCTGAGCCGAAGGCAGAGGCTTTAACCCACTGAGCCACCCAGGCGCCCCAGTTCCTACATTTTTAATTTCCCTCTGTTTCACTTGACTTTCCCATCTTCAATCTTTATTATTCATTATGATTTTATGGTCATCCTTCTATTTCCTACCCTACGTTCCTTTACATTCACTTTAGGAATAACATGACAAACCGACTCTGAGGGTTGAATCTTGTCTTCAGCTGACAACAAATCCAGCATCCCTTACATATCTAAAGTCAGAAGGACATGGTAAAATGTATTTTAGAGTACCTGGGCTTTGGTTGACTAAAGGACCTGTCTACTTTGCTCACTACCTTGCTTCCACATCCTCAGACCTTCACAAAGCCTGGTGCCATTTTGGGTGTAGAGACTGGTATGAGACTTCTGCTGATGCTACTCTTGTTTCTTTTCTGTGCAACAGAGAATCTCTCACTCACGAAGTATTTTACTTGTATTAGGTCCTACAGAGCCACACATACTTCCTAGGTCCAAACTGTATGTCAGCAACAATGGGCGGATACTATCCACTGTTGGGATCCAAAAGAGCCCAGGGGCCATGAAACACCTTTTACCAGAGGCAGACAGGGCTCACCATTTTTCCACTTCACTATTTATACCAATGCCTCTGTAAAAAATAGACAATAAAAATGTGTTGTATAATGTCCTCCCCATGCTGCTTTACTCCCCCCATCCACTCCTCTTCTTCTGATCTCTAGCTTAGTGAAGTCACAAAACATGGACTTCTCTTGCTATGGATCTGGAGCCCATCATTAACCATCTTAAAGACTGCACAACAGATTTTCAAGAGGTAAAGAATAGTAAGCCCACAGTAATCAGGATGAACTTGGTAGTAACAGCTTTGGAATACTTATGCATCAACAGAAAGGCCTTATGAATTTTAACTTCTGGAATGTTTATAATGGCAGACAGCTTCTGTTATGGCAGAAGGCTTATACTTTACATAGCAGCATCTGAGTTGAAAGGTTCTTATAAAGCTCCTATCAGGTATCAATCACGAGGCATTACGGGGGACACAAATTCCCTGGAAGTCTTACAATCCTATTAGTAAATCAAGACTTATCAGAGTCAAGGACAGATCAACACAAACAGAAAAGTCAGTGGTAGAGACCCAGTGTTTCAGCATGCAGAGGACACCTTTATTCTCATAAGCTGAACAGACACAAGCGAGAAAATTTTATAATCTAAGGATGTCATAATATCAAAATAAACCTTTAGTGAAGCAAATTAAAAAAAAAAAAAAACAGAACCAAATTCTCCTATTCATAAATTGGGATTGCTCATATCCTGTACCCACTGAAAAGTTCAGAATAAAGAATAAAATAGGGCAACATTCAGGATATGACTTTAAGGTGAGCCCTCTTCTTTGTTTAAAATTAAGTCTTTGTTTGAAACTTTGAAATAGGCTTCTTAAAGCCAAGTTCACAAGTGAGACTGCATCTCTGATAATGTTTTAGAATCTACTCTTTAGTCCAGGATTGAAGCCTCAAACTTGCTTAAGAATAAAGGGAAAGAGGGACGAGCTCCACCTGTGTCTTACAAACCTAAATGAATAGTTATTAAAGTTATGAGCAAGAAAGTCGCTTTCTTTTTAGACACACTTCTATTACTTTATCACCTGGCTGGAAGAAGACAGAACAAACCTTAAACTGAAGTGGTTGCGACTGATTTGTAATGATAGAACTTCAGTCTGCCACATATGTAAGTTACACACTAGAACAGCATTTAGAGAACTGGCAATTGGAGCCCTGTTAGTGGACTTGTCCTGCAAGCCCTCAGGACTCCGTAGAAAGGACATCCGGTCGCTGAAAAGCCAGACCATCAGGTACCATATTGTTCTATGAGCCTCCCCGATGCCCACTCCAAGCAGCAAACAGTCTTACTTGTTTCATTTGCTCCAGTTCATCTTTGAGAAGGAGGTTTTCCTGTTCCATGATATGAGTCTGTATTTTAACTTGAGAAAGTTCTGCCTCCAGAGAAGACACTAAAGTAGAGGACTAAGACAAAAAAATAGGAAGTCAAGACACGGGCATCTTCATGTAGCCTGGGGACACGTACGAGGCTCACAAAAGGCAGAAGTCAGGGAACCCAAGCCCCAGTTCAGTGACACGCTCTGAACCAAAGCTATCCTCCGAAAGGCTGGGTACCTGAACGGTAGGAACTTGATTTCTGAGATGGGTTTTGTGGGTTTCTCCACGGCAAAGTTACTTTCTCTTGGGGGAAGATAGTTTGAGACTACAAAAATCATGTTTCTCCTGAAACTTCTCTGTTTGTTTTAGTTTCTCTCAGTGGATTTTGTCTACAACAGTTATTACCCTCGTGTTGGCCTGGTGATGACCTTTTTCCTTCTTTCTTTCTACATTCATTAATTGGAATTCTACTGTGAAGAAGAGTTGTTATTTCTCCCCCATTTATTTAATCAATTTTTAATATCAGGATGTGCCCATACATATTTCATTTTATATTTATCTTATGCTATACTAGAATTATTTATTTTGTTGATCACACCATTCTAGCTTTGGCCAGTAAGAGCTCCTTCAGGTGGGGCTTTGTGTCCTTTGAATGTGCCCTTCTTTTTTTTTTTTTTTTTTTTTAAAAACACTTTTTTCTTTCTGGCACCACGAGGTATTCGGGCTCATCTTGAATCTTCCCTGCTCCAGCCCTGGAATAAATCATTTTTCCAAGGAGCTCTGGTTTCTTCTATAGGAGAATGGTGTTTAGAAACCAAGATTTGGGCACTCCATCCATACACACACATCTCTATCTGTGTCAATCTGTATATATACTAAGAAACATGAGTTTATACTAATGCCTCAAATTCCAATCCAACACCAGAAGATAGGTTCCCCATTTTCCTACTTGAAGCTTCCTTCTCCAAAAGTGAGAGACTCAGTTCTGTTGCCTATAATCTATTTACACATTTACTCACTTCTAATATATACAGTTTCAGAATTACTAACTTATCCCCCATGAGAAACACATTTACAGACTACATTATTATAGCATTTGGTTACACTTTCTATCTTTAGCCCTACAGTATGGAGTCAGATAATAATTTCCAAATGAATTCTTTTCTTGCCTATCATAATTACATTATCCATTTATAATACGATTAGGTTCAATTCTTAAGTGTTTGCATTCCAGTTGGTATCCCCTGCCATCTTGATTGATTCTAATTCTGTTTCTTTTGGGGTATGTGAAGAGTTTGGAAAACACTGCTATGATTGCTTGAGTCAGAGCTATGTGAAAAGATACACTCCCTTCCTTCCTCCCTTTGCCACCATTCCCATTCCTCTCTTCCGTCCCTTTCCCATCTACCCACTATAGGTAACCTTATCTTTAGTTTCTGGTTTATCATTCTTGGGTTTCTTTCACACAAATGAGCAAGTATATGTGTATTTTTTCCACATCCCCTTCTCTCTTATATGAAAGAGGCATCCTATACTCTTCTGTGCTTTTCTTTTTCACTTAACAGTATGTCCTGGAAATAATTTCATATCAAATAGAAGTCTCTCTTTCCTTCTCTTCCTTCCTTCCTTCCTTTTATAGCTAAATACTACTTTGCGCTGTGACTGTATCCACATTTATTCAACCATTCTCCTATATATGAACATTTAGGTTGTTTCCAAGCTCTGTGTACATATGAATATTCACACTGTTGGAGGTATACTTTTAGGGTAAATCCCTAAGAAATAGTATTGCCGGGACAAATGGTAAGCCCATATGTAATTTTGATAAGAATTAGCAAATCTCCCTCCAGAAGGATAACCTCAGTTTACAGCCCCACCAGCAATGTATAAAAGTGCCTGCTTCCCTAAAGCCTTGCCAACAGAAAGTCCTATTTTTAAATTGTTTCCAATCTCATAGGTGAGAAAAGATATATCAGTGTTGTTTTTATTTGCAGTTTTCTAATTATGAGTGATTTGGGGCATTTTTTCTTAAAGATTTTTTTTTTTAATTTATTTGAGAGAGAGAGAGCATGCATATGACTATGGGGTAGACAGAGGGAGAGCCAGACATGGGGCTTGATCCCAGGACCCTGAGATCATAACCCAAGTTGAGGGCAGACACTGAACTGACTGAGCCACCCAGGTGCCCCAAATCCATGGATTTTTAAAAGCTCTTTACACAGTAGGGATATTAGCCCTACTCTCTGCAGTATGTGATGTAAACATTTTTCTCCCAGTTTGTGAATTATCTTTTGACTTTGTTTATGGTATTTTTTTTTTACCACGAACAAATTTTGATTTTTTTTTTTTTTTTTTTTTTTTGCCTCTGGTTTATGAGTCATAGTTGGACAGCTTTTCTCTACACTAAGGTTAAAGACAAATTCATTCATGTTTTCTTCTAGGACTTATGCAGTTTTTTTTCTGATATTTAGACTCCTTACCCAATTAGAGTTGGTCCTTATGTACTGTACAAGATATGCATCTCATTTTATCTCTTCCCAAATGTCTACTGAGTGTTCTAGGAACCACTCATTTAAAAAAAAAAAATTCCATCTTTACCCCAGTGATTGGAGAAGGTACCTTTGTTATATACTAAGTTTCCATCTGTGCTGGGGTCTAATTCTAGACTTTCTAGTCCATGTATCTATTTGCCCATTCATTTGCCGGTACCACACTGTTGTAATTATTAAGACTGTATATGTAAGAAATTTAATACCAGCATTGCTTTATTTCTTGGGATTTCCTCCCCCTTGGGCTGTAGGGTGGCTCTCCTCTGTACCTGGGCTCTACATTGTTCCAGTTCTTCTTTTAGATGAGACTCTCGTTGTTTCCACTCCTCAAATGCACCGGGTCCCGGCTCTTCCTCCTCCTGGCACAGCATTTCCGCCAGACGCTCATGAAGTTCCTGCAGTTCTTTCTCATTCTGAGAGTTCTTTTGGCTAAGTTCAGAATTTTCCAAATCCAACTCTTGGTTTTTGGTTTTTAATTCTGAAATCTAATTAAAATTGAGATAAGTTTTAAAAACAAGTTACCCCATGTCTACTAAAAAACAGATATAGAGACTAACTGGTTCTTACCCCTCTGTAGATAAGGTTTTCTACGTAGATACGTACACACGCACACACTCCAACCCCCATCCCCGTACTAACAGAATGAATACAGTACTCGTTATTACAAATTCCATCAGTTGGGAAGTGTATAAGGAAGTAAGAGACCTTCGGTTCAGTCTAACTGCAGGGGGATAGCACACTGTTCAAAGCTGGGTCTGTCTCCCTCCAGACTGCTTTCTGTGTATATACAAAACTCAAATGCACATAGAGGTTTTTCTCCTCTTCAAAACAAAAATAGGAATCATTTCAGATGTTTGGACAACCTGCTTTTTTCCACTTAGTCTCTTGCAGACTTTTATCTTTCTAAGTCAGTGCATTTAGAAAACACCACATGCTCTGTTTCTTAGTGGCAATAGCATATTCTATGTGTCAAGACATTCTATAACGTATTTATCATTCCCACATTGACAGACATATAGGACAGTTATTATTTTTTTAATTGTGAAGAAACAATAATATTTTGAAAAATGATACCATTTTGTATTTAGGATAATTTCCTTAGAAGTGGGGCCGCTGGGTTAGGAGGTCTGCATACACATCGCTGTTTGGAGAGAGATCCCAAAGTGTCCTCCTCACAGTGCTACCAACTTATACTTCTCCCCAAAATGTATGAGTACACTGAGTTCTTCACAGCCAATTATCCATCTTTCAACTGGATTTTGCCATTTATTTGTAAGAGTACAGAATATATTTTGGATGTTAAGACCCTGTCTGTTTCAAGTCCTGAAAATGCTCTTTTCTTAGGATGTCCTTGTCTTTTGGCTGTTTCATTACAGACCCTAAAATGGCCTTTCCCTGCACAATTGCCTGTTGTGAGATTATACAAATTGGGTGCCAAATGGCACAAGCTATCAGAATATACTGTAATTCTATGCAAAGATATACTGATGAACCATTACTCTGTATCTGTGAAAATTGTGTCCTTAACTTTCTGGTTTCAATCATGGTGATGAAAGAGGAAGGCGTTAACATTACATGAAAGAATGTGAGGGATAGAGCTAGTATTTCATAGAAATGGTTTTAGAGGTATCATCTCCCCATTCCCACTGGTTATAAAGCTTATATTAAGCACTCAGAATCTAGAAGTAGTATATATATTATGATATTCACCAAAAAATAGAAACCTAGTTTAGAGTCAGCACGGGGTGAGTTTCCATTCTAGAACTCTGGATTTACAACTTTACTATCATTACGTACATGCTCTTCCAGTAGCATATAAGTTTATAAATTACAAATAAGGAAAATTTCAGAGAATCAAGAAACACTGGGAAATACTAAGTATCTTCTTACCTGTTTCTTTAAACTTTCGACCATCTTCTGAACTGCAGCTTTTTCCTGTTTTACAGTTTCTATTTTTTGCCTAAAGGGACAGTGAAAATATAACCTAAGAGTTAGCCTTTAAAAGCTGAAGGAAGCAAAACAGTTTTAGTCCTTGCAAAAATGCCTTAAGAAAATTTAAGTATATGTCTTACCACATTTCTTCCTGAGATCCATTTAATTTCCCTAATTTCAGGTTAGAATTGCTATCTTCTTCATTCAAAGTAGTAATTTCATTTCTCAAAATAGAATTTTCTTCTTGAAGCTTCTCAGATTCATATCTGAATTACAGAGATTTAAAAAAAAAAAACAGTTGTAACAAGGCAGTCATCTGGCATCTTTGGAAAATGCTTTCTAGTAACTTCCAATAAAACAAGTTTTCCATGCCAGTTAGAAAGAGAAGTCTAAATTAGTAGACTCTTAGTAATGGAAGTCAAGCTATGACATATTGATTCATTTCTTTTGGGAAGTTAAGAATTTCACGAAAAGACGTTAGGGAAGTGTCTCTAAAACACTTGAGCATAGAGATAGGAAATGAGACTCTGCCCACCAAAGTTGCTAATTTTCTCAGTGGCAAGCATACTGCTTTGAGCAAATAACTTCATTTATCTCAGTCTCAAGCCCTACTTGCTCCAGATGGGAATAAGCCTATTAAGCTTATTAGCTTTAGTTACAGGCCTCAGGTTTCCTAGAGAAAGAAAATTCACTACATAAATCAAAGACCACACTGAAATATGTACACTCATGTTTACTTTGTCATTTCTTTTCAGTTCATTATATTCTGATATTTAGAACTTCAAAATGGTCTGAAAAGGAAAAACTACATCCAGAATTACTTTGTTTCATATCAAGATATTTCAGAAACATGTAATATTTTCCAAGTTTTTTTTAAAAAACCAAATTTGTTAGAAGACAACTGCACTCATAGTATATAAAGTCAAGTGAGCAATGGTTCAAATTAGTCTTATTTCTGTCTTTATTTTGAGCACATTTATTAGAATCTGATAGTGCTTCGAAAAATTCTACATCCTATGATAAATTTCCATCATTTGCAGAATACCAGCGTGTACTTCCACTGCTACCAGTGAAAAACTATACGCCACAAGGCATGACCTTTTTCCTCTATGAGTACAGGATCGGAGTTCTGACCTGCCGCATGAGTTAACAATACACAAAAGGCATTCTCCTGGAACACGTTCCGCCACATGACGAAAATAACACTGAGCCAAAAACCAAACCGAACCACTATCAATCCAAATGAGACGCTAGATAGGAGTTAAAGACTTGACGTACACTGATGAGGCACATGGTTAAACGGCAAACACTCTCCACTCTGACACAGCAAACGACACGCATCTCCTACGGGGGACGGGAGCGCCTCCTAGGCCAGGTTATTCTACTTGTTAATACGACACAGAAGCAGAAGGAAGTTTACAGTAGTGCTCTCTCCTTGAAGACTAGCGGGTTAGTTTCTCTAGGCAGAGCAAGCAGTGGGAGTTAGATGTGGTGAGGTGCTCTCGGGAGTCCGGGGAGCTTAAAAGGTACATACGTTACCTCAGAAGTTCAACTTTCTGTTGCATCTCACTGCACGTGCTTTGCAAGTCATGCATCATGGCCTTCAGCTCTTCCTCGTTTTCTCCTTGACTAGGTGCGTCCTTCTGCCTAACTACAGCAGTGACTCGCTCCCTCAACTTCCTGGTCAGCTCCTGCAGCTTCTCCTTCTCCAGTTCTAACTCTGCTAGTGTGGCCTGACGCTGCAGGTGTCTGTCTTGAAGGCCTAGGAGAGCGGCGTCCTCCTCCTCGGGTATAACCGGGCTCTGGACGCGGGGCCTTTCTCGACGTGTCCGGATCGTTCTGCGCAGCCAGGAGATCTCACGGGCCTGTACTCTTTCCAGGAGCTGTGTGTTCTCCTGCTTGAGGTACTGATTTTCTTGATAATGTTCCTCTATAACGTGGTGCACATCCGTCACCTTCGCCGCACGCTCTTCCGGGGTCTGACGGAGTTCAAGTACCTTCCCGTCGGGCGGGGCTCCCAGGGCGGCAAAGGGGGCCTCCCGGGAGGAGAAGCAGTCCCGCCGCAGCCCGGTGCCAGCCTGCAGCTTCTCTAGCTTGCCCCGAAGTCTTAACACCAGAACATGCAGCTCCTGGTTTTCTCTTTTGACCTCCTCGTAGCTCTTCTCCAGGCTAAGGAACGCGTCCGTCACCTCGGCCGCCTTCTGGAGCTCGTCCTGCAGTTTGAACACTTCTGAAGCGAGTTCTTTGTTGCTCTCTAGGGCTTCGTCGTAGCGCAGCTCGGTCACTCGCAGCTCCTCCTGGAGGCAGTCATTTTCCCTGCTGGCGTCTTCATACAACAGCTTATACTTGGGGGAAGCCTCGGGGATTCGCTCAAGCATCTTCAGTTTCTTCTTCAGCACGCTAACATCAAAGAGCAGGTCCTGTTTCTTTTCGGAGGCTCGACTGCAGTCTGCACGTAGGATCATCAGTTGTTCTTTAAGCTGACAAATCTGATTCTGCAGGTCCCACGTCTCAGTCCTGGTCCCTTCGCTATTTTCCAGCTCGGAAAAGCTCCCCATCGATGCTTCAGACTCCTGCATCTTGACCTCCTGTCTCTGAGCAGAGCTCATCTCTGGACTGCCCAGATCCCGGGTCTCATCGTCCGGGAGGTCACTGAGGACGCACCGTGGGCTCACACCTTCCACCTCTTTCATCTGGTTTTGCAGCAAGAAGGGCTCTGTTCGTTCCACAGAGTTTCCAAATAAGCCAGTCGCTGGCTCCTCTGAACAAGAGGACGTTACCGACCCCGGCTCTAATGTTTGCAGCTTCTGTCGCAACCTTGAAATTTCCGCGGCCATTTTCACATTTTCCTTCACCGCTCGCTCATGAGCTCTCTGCAGGCTTAAGAGGACATCTCCGTTCTCTTCCAACAGCTGCTTTCCTTGCTGGAGCAGGGACATGGGTCCACTTCCGTCCGCCTCCTCCCCTCCTGCTGCCTGGCAGCCAGACTCTCTCCTGGATGAAAGACAGGCCACCTGCTGCATTTCCTTAATTTTGTTCTGAAGCCTGGAGATTTCGGTGCTCATCTCCACCCTTTCTCGGTCTGCTTTCTCACAGGTCACTTTGTGAACACTCTCCATGGCCTGAAGCTTGGACGCCATCTCCTGCCGCTCCTGGTCCAGTTCCGTGGCTAGCTTCTCCAGCTGCTGGTTGGCCAGGGGCTCTGAGGCCCCTGCCCGGCCCGGGACCAGCTCACTGTCCCTCAGCTCCCTTTCCCGACTGCTCTTCAGCTCAAGGATCTGGTCGGACAGGAGGCTCTGCTGACTCGCTGACACGTTTCTTAGATCTTCCAGGTCTTTGAGAAGCTGCTCCCTCTCAACAACCATACTATTCAAATGTTCTTTGTAGGTTTTCTCCAGCATCTCTCTCTCCTGGGTGAGGACCAGAGAGGTTGCTTTCTCTCTTTGGAGAGTCTCCTTCAGCTGCTCCTGGGCTTCTGCGCACTCCTGGGTGAGCTCTTCCTTCTCGAACTCCCACTGGGATCTCTCCTCATGCTGTTGCTCCAGGAGCTCCTTCAGCTGTTGGCGGTAGCGCCCCTCCAGGCTCTGCAGAGCGTTCTCACATCTCTCAGTGACTTTCTGACAATCAGCCTGAAACTGGGCTTCTATCTGACAGGTTCTTCTATTACACTCAGTCTCCATTTTTTCCCTAAATGTAGTCAACATACAGCATTACTGAAACTGCCACCAACTCCAGAAGCAAACAAAACACATTTTCCCATGCACAGAGGAAGCTGCCAGGCAAATAAATTTAAATGCTTTCTAAAAACGGTCTTCTCTTATTCCTATGTAACTGATTTCTACAGAGACAGGATCTCATTTCTGAGGGCTAAGACGGGCAGCCATAATCAATTTATAAGACCTACCTCTCTGTCTGCATTTAGAGGGAAAATTGAGACACGGACTTCCTTGGCATACTCCTGGGTATATTTGTGTGTGGAAAATGTAAACTGATACTTCACATCAATGATCAAATGCATATTAACCTAATCTGTAACTTGGGAAATATATAAAATTCCTTCATTTTAATTAAGTACACACTGGAGGACAGTAGTCCTGTAAACCATACCTATTAACATAATCATTGTTTTTTTCTTGTTTAATAAAGCAGCAGTCAATGAATCCAATGAATCAGAGTATGAAGCATCAAATCCTTCACATGTGCCTGAGATTTCACGTGAGGAAAGGAAGCACAAAGCAGCATTTCGTACTTTTGGCAGCAACAGAACTTCACCCAGAATTTAGCTCACAAATAGCGTTTCTCAAACGCAATAATTATTCTCATTTGGAACCTGAAAGGATACTTGTTAATATAAGAAATATGGTCTTTGAAAAAAACAAAACAGTTCAATAATCCCAGGATAGGCTTATGTCTAAACAATGGCAAAATGGGCTGAGAAACTAAAGAGCCTAGTCAAAGTCACCCTATGTGACTGGAACTTCTGGTGCCCCCAAGGGACAGTGCCCCAGGTTTCTCCATTTTCCCCTATTTTCTTACCTTCCCTCTTGAAGTTCCCTTTGGTGTTTCTCCAAGAGCTCTTTTCGCAACTCCTCTTTCTCAAGAGTGTGCTTCTCCATCAGGCTTTTAAGCTGCTCCTGGTGAAACTGCTCTAGTTCCTGAGTCAAGCCTCTCACCTTCTCTTCTGTCCAGGCGCCATTTTGAATGAGTTCTTCTCTCTCTCGGTTAAAGCTTTCCTCTGCCTGCTCCAGGTGAGCCTTGAGTTCCAACTCGTGTTCCAACCTCAGCTTCTCCTGCAGGTGAGTCTTTTCCTCCTCCCATTTCCTTTGCAGTTGTTTTTTCTCGTCCTCGTGTCTGCAGATAGTTGTATCTTGTGCCTCCTTGAGCACCACCGCCTGACCCTGAAGTTCTGCTAGTTCACTTTTAAGGTCACTTATTTGTTTTTCCAAGACATGCACTTCATTCTCATACTTTTGCTTCATGTTCTCTTGCTCCTTTTCATAGGTGACCTTGGTTTCATCTAGCTGCTTTTCATAATGGTGCACCTGAGGTCAGAAAGCGAAACCACCACAGTGTTATTCAACTCAAGGCTATGGAAAGGTGACAGGGGCCATGGCCACTTTTTGCCTATGACACATTCTTCAGTTTTCCCATTTTAATGACTTGAAAACATCTCAAATAAGATATATTTGAGTCAGGCATAGTTTGCTTTCCTTTTTAACTTCACTGAATCTTATTATTATTATTTATTAGAGATGTTATTTATTTATTTGAGAGACAGCGTGCACACATGCACATGAGCAGGGCAAGGGGGGGTGCAGAGGGAGAGAATCTCAAGCGGACTCTGAACTGAGTGGTGAGCCTGATGCGGGGCTCCATCCTATGACCCTGGGATCATGACCTGAGCTGAAATCAAGAGTCTGATGTCCTATCGACTGAGCCACCCAGGTGCCCTGAATTTTATTAGTTTCAGAACAACTCTAAAAAAAATGACTAGACTTTCCCATAGATACCATCTGTCTTCCCAGGTATCCTGTCCAGCTGTAAATGTAGGGTCTTAAAATACTTAATTAAATTCAAGCATTTCTTAACACCTATCACAGGCACTCTGTGGGCCTTGTGGGGATCCAAAGTGAGATAAGATGTAGTCCTGCCATCCAGGGGAAACCACCCTAGACATGGTTTTGACAAGTACAAAAAAGCATACCACAAGGCAGAATGAAAAATATAAAAGATCTAGGAAACAGAGCTGCATTGTAACCTGGAGATCCAAAGATGGAAAAGAAACCACATTTGGTCAAGGGTATTTGGGAATGGGTTCATGCAAGAGGTAGCATCTGATATAAACTCTGAAGGGTAAGGAGACTCTTAAGAGTAGGAAAGAAATAACGTAGCATGTAATAGCATGAACAAGAGAGGACAGTTTGATGGAGAACAGTGAACTCCTGGTTTGACTAGAGAAGAAGGTAAAAGAGAAGACTAAAAATATAAGTTGAAGCAACATGGTGGAGGGTTTTGGAGGCCAAGATTCAGAACTGGTACCTAATGCTAGCTATATCAAAGGGCTTTTTTGGTTTTATTAAGATGTTTTGGAACCAGCTGGAAATAATGTATTGGCCTTCAAGTTTCATGCTTGCTAGGTCTGAAGATAATACATTTTGAAGAAACTCTCTCCTAGGAAGAAAAGTCCTCAGGCTCTGCTTATAAAACCATCCTGAGCTACCAGACGCAAGAGGAAATGTATAGAAAGTGATGCTCTATGAGTGAAAAGAATTAAGAACGTCTTTCATGCAACACTTGTCAGAGCTCAAAGAAATGTACAGGATAAGAAGGACTTACTTTATCTTCAAGCTCCAGTCTCAAGTGACACAAGTCCCTGTGATGTTGTTCTTTCATCTGTTCAATGACCAGCTCCGCCTCGATGCTCATGTTCAATGGATTGCATTCTTCAGAACTGAGCCCTGAAAACACATGGGATCTGTTGACCCTGTGACAGGTTCTTTCAGTAACACAACTGGCATCTGAGGAAGGGACATCCAGCTTAAGGGATAATTTTTAGCCTAAATTACCACTAATGAGATCTACTAAGAAACCATAAGAACCCAAGAGGCTTCTTATTTTCAAGCATTAAAAATGAAGGTGAATGGGCAGTACCATAAGATTCTTTCATGGATAGATTCTGTGCCAGACCTTAACAGAATCCATCTTTTTGTAAAGTAGGTGGGTAGGGGTGGAAATTGTTGTTTAAAGATGACCTTCTAAATGAAAATGCCATGGAGTGAGGTAATTCGGTGACACCAACCCACCTTCTATCCCATCCAACAAATACTATGGGACAAATTAGCAGAGGGGCAATGTGGTAGAAGGCGCCTGGAGGCATTACCTTCATGGGTCAAGATCTCCAATCCATCCCTCAGTTACAGAAGATCGAGTATTACAGTATTGTTCCCCTACGGTGCAAGTGGAACCCCATTTTCAATTATCAGCTCAAATTTTATAAATACGGGGCACCAGTTAGGAACCTAGATATAGGCAGTTTGGGAGAAAAATTCTCAACTCATACATATGGGTTCACTTCCACAACTGCCCATGATGATGACTGAGAACAACACTGAAATCTGAAGCGAAAATTGGAGGCTGAGGCAGTACACAGACAAAATGATGATGTCTAACACTATGTGGAAGTCTCTGAAGGGAGGGGATTCAAAAAGGCTTTTCATGTGGGGGCCCATAGGCAGATAGGAGAAAGAGCCTGTCTGGCACCTGGGACTGACAGTCTTGCTTTGGGGTTTCTTTTCATATACTGTTTCTTTTCAGGTGGCATAGCCCCAATGTGAGAAGTGATACTTGGGGTGTAAGCCTCCCCAAGATGGCACAGCTTCACACGCCTATGAGGAGAACCCCCAACACTATAAAGAAAGTCCCAGAAAAGCTTCTGAGATGCATCATATGATCAGCTTGGATCCATCCTCACACTACAGTAAGGCCACTAATCACATACTCAGAACCACCCGCTCTCTCCCAGTCCCCTCCCCAATCCCTTATTTATTCTAGAATGAATAGATAAGAAGAGAAATAAACAAACCTTCTAAGAACCTGTACTTCTGTAGCAGTGGGGAAGACTATAACAGAAGAATTTATTATGAGCCCTTTCTGAAATACAAACTCAGCACAGGAAGGAGGAAAAGAGCTAATAATGAATGTAGGAGGGCTAACTCTGCCTTTCCACCTCACCACTCAAAATCCTCCTCACAGGCACAGTCAACCAACATTGACTTACTTGTTGTTTTACAGAGGCAATGCTGGTATTTAGCACAGCCGGCATAAGAAAACCAAATTCTGGTTTCTGCTTGTCCTATTCTCCAAAACCATAACCATACTGCTGAGGCACTCAAGAAAGGGAGGACTCTGCAACAGCTCAGTGTCTGAATTCTAATGCTCCCAAGGCCTTAGACTCTCAGACTTGTGGTCAGTTGTTTTTGTTTTGTTTTGTTTTGTTTTAAATAAAACAAATATCCTTGTGGTTTGATTTTTCCATTCTTTTGTTGATACACGTAAAAATCAGATAGAAATATTTTCATAAAGACTTTAAAGACAAATGAAAAAATAGACCACAAGTGAAATAGCTCAAGAAAATAGTACTGCCAGGTTTTTTTGTTTTTTGTTGGTTGCCAAAGTTGTGCAATTTTACAACAAACATGGCCCTAAAAGCAAAAACTGAAGCCCAGCCTCTGAAAAGATGATGTCGAATGGCTTACCCTGGTCAGGCTCAATGCAACCCCCATTAGCATCAAGTTCTTCCGACAGTGAGTTCTTCAAGGGAAGTCTCAACACTTTGCCTTGTGTACGAAATTCTTCCAGCTCAGACTGGAGTTCATCCACTTGGTCTTGTAATACCTTGAGTTTAAAAACCAACACTAGTCTTATATGTGACAGCAAAAGCACAAGCAGCAAAAGACAAAATAAACTGGACATCACCAAACAAAAAACCTTTTGTTTCGAAGGGTATCATGACCATAAGAAGACCACCCACAGAGTGGCAGAATAATTTTTGCAAATTATGTGGTCTGATGAGGGACTTGTAACTATAATATATGAGCCTACAAAAATAGTTACTACGATTCAATAATAAAAAGACAATCCATTTAAAAATTAAGCAAAGGGGGACGCCTGGGTGGCTCAGTTGGTTAAGCAGCTGCCTTCGGCTCAGGTCATGATCCCAG